ACGAAGTTTAGCTAGAAAAAAGTGGCAAGCTCCAGGGTAGGGCAGAGAGTGACAGAGTAGGACTCCCACCATCTACCTCTGGCCTCTAGATGTACATGCATGGGTGGCAGAACACACACACACACTTAAAAAAAAGAACCAGGAGTCAAATAGAAATTTGCAGTCTACCAATTAAGCTAGTAATAATTCATGGGTGACCAAAATACTGCATGTTTTTAGTAGATCAATCTAGGATATGAAGAAATACAATGTGTCCCGGTTAGTTTTATGTCAAGTTGACAGAAGCTTGAGTCATCAGAGAGGAGGGAACTTCAATTGAGAAAATGCCTCTATAAAAGATCAGGTTGTATGCAAGCCTATAGGACATTTTCTTAATTGATGGTGGTCCTGAGTTCTATAAGAAAGCAGACTGAGCAAGTCATGGGAGCAAGCCAGTAAGCAGCTCCCCTCCATGGTCTCTGCATCAGCTCCTGCCTCCAGGTTCCTGTCCTGTGTGAGTTCCTGTCTTGACTTCCTTTGGTGATGAACAGTGATGTGGAAATGTAAGCCAAATGAACCCTTTCCTACTCAAGTTGTCAAGGTGCACTGTGTAGCGTGGGTCAGTTGAAGAAAGAAGGCACTCCAAGATGAAATTTTAAGGCCTATGTGGCAGCAGGATGGTCCAGCCTTTGTGATGAACTGAACCCCAAACCTCTGTAGAAAGGCATATTTATTGAAAGTTACACAAAGTATTTCCTCACACCAAGGTTCCTAATCTTAATTTACATGTCTTACTGAAGGAGAGCATCACATGCCTCTTCATTATGTATTGTGTGCAATACATAATAATACAAGAGGTTCAGGGGTGCCTGAGTCCTCTTGTGACCAAAGCCCCTTCAGAAAAAAGAAAAAAACAACAACACTGTTTTCCACAAGGATTCTTCAAAGTACTCCTAAAAACGGTTGTTCATTCTAATGTCTATCCCAGATACGGTGACTCTGCTAATTCCTACAATGCCAAGTAGCATTGGTCATGGCATTTCATCACAGCCATAGAAACCCTAACTAGGGCAAGATGCTAGGCAAGGGTTAGAGGGATGGCTCCGTGATTAAGAGCACTTGTTGCTCTTCCAGTGGACCCAGCACCCACACCAGGCAGCTCACAACTGCCTGAACATCCCCAGAGGATCAGATGCCTTCTTCTGGCCTCCACAGGCATCCACACTCAAGGCAGACACAGACATAAAATGTAATTAAAAGGTACTAGGCCATTGGTGCTCTGTAATGAAACTTGCTATAGCAAAAACATTTAAAATCTGAATAAGCAATTGTCTAAAGAGTGATGAAATTGGAAAGGAATATTGTCAGATCTAAAGGAAACTTCACTTCCCCAAATTCTGGTGGTTAGACAAAAGCCAGCACTCCTCAAGAATTTGTGAAGCTTGTTCCCCTCTAACAAAGGACAGAAGGGACAAATATCTATCTATTGTGCCCACATGCTGGCCTCCAGGCTCCTTCAGTATCACAGTGCCTAGCTCCTCCTGCCTCCTCCCCAACCATGAACTTCTCCATCCCAGGAATGCCCCTGCCCCCAGCTACTCTTCTCTCCTTATAACCCTGCCGTTTCGGCTCTCCTCCATCTCTTTTGCCCTCTCTCTCTGTCTTCCTCTCTTAGTCTTCTCTCTGTCTTTGTCTGTCTCTCCTCCCCTCTCCTGGCCAGGCCCAGTCTGCTGTCCTCAGTCTACTATTTTCTCTCCCTGCCCTCGATTCTTCCAGATGCTTCGGGCTGCTCTCTCCCTCATATCTACAATAACCTTCCCGTCAACCATAACTTGGAGAGGTCATGTCCTCAGTTTATACAAAATGGTGATGTTGAATTCTGCTAGAGAAAAATTTGGTGGGGGTTGGAAACAGGTAGATATCAATGATTACTGATAAATCATTTTTATATGCTAAACACTATGTATCATCATGGGTCTTTATTTTTTTAATGATAGCTTTTGATTTTACAATACAAAATATTTCACAAACGTAGGCAAGATCATTAGCTAACATAATCAGCAGAGCGGTAACTAAAACCTGGTCTTTCCGATGCTGGAAAACCCCCTCTTTCTGCAATGACACCCTTTTAGGTAGAGTGCCTGGAATGATTTTTAGGCTTGTCTTCTGAGAGAACTTACCTGCTGCTATGGCGTTCAATTGTGTGAAACTATCTTGACCACGAGCTCAACAAGGGAGGAGTTTATTTTTTTCCTGTCATGAGAAACCTGAGCATAGCGGTCAAGGTGGGTGCAGCCCCTTTTTCTGTTGAGTGTTGTTCTTAGTCTAAGATTACTGTTCCACCCCTGCTCACAGCAGGAAGGAAAGCAGAGGAGAGAAGAGGAGGTTTTCCTCAAGAAAGCAAGCCTTCCCGGACTTTGTTCTGCATCTCCAGGGCCAGAACCACGTTGACTGGGCTCCCCCAGCGATGGCATCCGTTGCACTTGAGCTTGGTACATCGCCTCCCTGAAGGAGTGTGGGACTCTCCAAGAAGTTGAGGTGGGGAATTATTGAGACAGTGTCTGTCTCTCGTAGACATTTGACAATTCTGAGGTGAGATGGTTGGGACAGAAGCCTCAGATCTAGGTTTCTAGGAGCTCAGGAACCTATCTTAGTTCATTTCTCTGTTCCTGTGACAAAATAAGCAGGTAGGGCTTATCTGACTCAGTCTCCAGGATACAGCACATCATGGCGTAGAAAGCAGGTGGCCGGAGCGGAGTCAGTGTAGTCAGGAAACAGAGATAAAAGCGCATCTTGTTTTCCCCCTTTCATTCAAAGACCCCAGTCCACATGGATGGTGTCACCTACATTCAAGGTGGGTCTTCCCACCTCTGTGAAGCTTCTCAGAAAAATGTCCTTCCAGACACACTCAGCGGTGTGTTTCCATGGTGACTCTACATCCAATCAAGTTGCCAAAGAAGGCTAACCATCACAGCACCCTTTCGGATGAATTTTGTAGCAAGCGAGGCAGAAGAGGCCAGAGGAGAGAACCTGGGAATCAATGGGTCTGTCACAATCTCACCACCAGCTCCCCAAACAGGATCCTGCTCTGGGGAGGAGTCTAGTATGTAGTCACTCTAACACCGCTAGATGGGAAAAGTCTCAGGACAGTGTTGATAAGAAATTTGGTAATGGGGGGAGAAAGTGGGCATGTGGGGATACTTGGGAATGCTAGGAACATTTGAAGACCAATTCTGCCTCCTGGATCACTTCATCCTATGAAAGTGTAGGCTGGCTGCTCGGAGCTACTTCTCCCAGCCCTGATGCTAGCAAGGCACTTCTCCTTCATACTGCTGGATATGTTTAGCCTAGCATGTAAGGTTGGCGTACACCTAGTTCAGAGAGACGTATGACTGGCCTCTTTAAAGTACACACTCCACAGATGGTGACTTGTCTTTCTTAGGTCTATGCTCTGACTGCACACCTCCTGCCCTCCCTTCCTCTCTGCAAAAGGGTCCCCCAGCCATTTCTGATGCTCTACCTTCTCTCTGAAGGGAGTGCGGGGGTGGGGGTGGGTGGGGGAGGGGGACAACGACAAGGGAGGGACACACACCCCTCTGGGCTGAAGCATTTCACAGCCTCACTTGATTTCATTCATCGCTCCTTTTTCCAGGATGTCTCCTCTGAGCTGGGAGGCAGGCACACGCAATTCCCCTTACAGCCCACATGTAACACCCGAGGGGCCTTTGCTACCATGTCAGTCCATTTCTGAGTTCCTGGCAAGGTCAGTTCAGCCCAACTGGGAGGGGGAAAGGCGTAGGCTACAACCCGGAACATGGATCTGCTTGGAGAGGAGTGGGAGAAAAATCGTGTCGTATTTTGAATAACTAACAAGTCATAGGTTCTCAACAAATATTTACTGAATTAACACTGGCCAGCAAAGAAAAAAAACACGATATGTTCTGCAGATTTTGATTTTTAAAAATCAGGATTTATAGCGCACTAAGGTAATTGGTAAGTGGCGCATGCGTCTCAAGTCATGTCGCCTTGGGAATATCCTCATCTGTAAACAATTGCCAAGGGTAAACTTGAGAAACTGGCCGTAGAGCAAGAGGTGGTGTTAGGAGCACCTCAGGCTGGGCTTGGATCCTCAAGATCTGGCACCAGGAAGGGGTCTCCTTCACCCCAAACCCTGCAGCCTTCTGCCAACTCTTTTCCAGCCGTCCCGGGGTGGCAGCCTTGGCCGCCTCTGGTCGCCTCACCGGCAGGGGGCGTCCTACGCACTGTCTAGGGAGTGCCTGCTTTTTCCAGTATGAGCCAGATGGCGACCTCGGTGGACTCAGGCAGTTTACCCCGAGCGCTCCGGGCCTGGCTAGGCTGAAAGAAAAAAGGAGCAGCCGGATTACTCCGGCAATAACCTAGGACAGGAAGGGGTGGGATGGGCGGGGCGAGCGGAGGGGAGAACGCGCGGCTCCGCCTCTTGGGGCTCATCTGGGGCGTGTGGAGCGGAGGTGGGCGGGGCGAGCGCCGCGCGGCTCCGCCCTTTGGGACTCACCTGGGGCGACTGGAGCGGAGGTGGGCGGGGCGAGCGGAGGTGGGCGGGGCGAGCGGAGGTGAGCGGGGCGGGGCCCCGCCCCTCGAGCAGTCTCGGCGGTTGGCTGCTTGAAGCTACTCGGGCTCCGCGGGTGCTGAGGAGTGCGAGCTGAGGTGAGCGCGCGGCTCCTGGGGGCCACTGACGGTCGCGTTGCCAGGAGGCGTCCCTTCCTGGGACTCGGGGTGACGCCGCCAGCGGCGGGCTTCCGCAGAGCGGACGAGGGGCAGGGTCCCACGGGCGCCCGGCCCCCACGCCGCGGTTCCCAGCCCTCTGCATCAGGCCCGGGGCTGAGGTGGGTGTGTCTCGGTCCTCGCTGGCTTCCCGACACACGCCCGGCGCACCCGGGCTCGGCGACTGAACCTTGGGCTCTGCCCTGCCGGCGGTTGGTACTGGAGCGCGGCGGCTGGCTCGGGGACCCGCCCCGGGGAGCAGGGGGCTGAAGCAACTTCTCTCCTGCGGAGTTGCGCGACCGCATCACCTGGCTGCAAGAAGGAAACACGCTCGCTCCGTCCCCAGCTGTGCAAGTGATCTGATAAGGGCGTTGTTGCTCAAATCCCAGAGGTAAATAACACCCGTGGTTACAGAGGACACACGAAAGGTGCTTCCGCGTGTGCTTTGTATTTACGAACGTGTGCAGCACACATTGGCAGGGCCTATGGCTAGCGTTTCTTTATGAATCAAGATTTTAAAGTTACTGCGGGTTGATGCCCATGAGAAGTGCAGGGACTGGAAACCTGTAAGATAAAACGTTAGCCTTAAAGGAGCAAAGCGACTTGTGGACTTTGACTGTGTCCTCGTTTTGAAACGTTCTGGAATTTGAGGAAATGTTTTTAGTTTTAGAAAGGGTATTAATTACATTTAAAATTTTTTAAACGTGTGTGTGTCCTGTCTCCCTGTGGAGGTCAGAGGACAAGTTTCAAGGAATAATCTCTCCATGTGTGTTCGTGGTTGGAACTCGTGTTCTGGCTTAATGGCAAGAGCCCTGAACTATCTTGCTGGCTTCATAAGGAGTTCTAGGACAGGTTCCAAAGTTACACAGAGAAACCCTGCCTCGAAAAACAAACCAAAAAAAAAAATCTGATCTTTTAGGATTACTGACTGAAGTTGAAATATGCATTGAGGATTTGCTTCGAAGTTTGGGGGTTCAGGAGTACACTGGGCCGTGAGAGGTTAACAGGCAAAACTGGATGTTAGGCATGCAATTCTTTACTGTGTCTGTTTTTGCACATTTTGGGTATTTCCCTTTAAAAGTTGCAACACTGCCTTTCTTTTTCTTTCTTTTTTTCCTCCAGTTCAGCACTATACAGGTGACTCTAGTTTCAAAGCCTCTCATATATCATTATTTTTCATAAATTGGATGTGAATACTGCCTCATCAGACTGACCCTAAAAGATCATAGTCTCTGTCTGTCTTACACACTGCACAGGAGATGGCACCGCTGTTTGTTAGTGGATCAAGTTGATGCAGGTGGGTGCTGGCTCAGCTTTTTCCGAACACACACCATTAGCAAACCTGGGGGTTGGGCTGCCTCCAGTCAGGCGGTTTGTATCAAATGTGTTAGCATTTTTCCCAATGGCTCCAATCCCTTCTAAGTTATACTCAGCAGAAAAACAGGCCTGGGCTTTGGGTATGGCTCATCAGTAGAGCATTTGCCTGGCATGCTCCGGGGCCAGGGTTGGGTCTCCAGCACCCTTCAACCCCCCAAAAGAGAGCAGAGTAGGAACTGCCTGCGGTCCACTTGGGATCATATGCACTTCTGCACATCCTGTATGTCACTAGTTTTTGTAATGATGAAGACAGCATAACTGAGCGGGGCTGGACTTAGTCCTTGAAAAGGATCTGTATTTTCCCGAAGTTACTCCACTTTGCTTTCAGGATCGAGAAACAAACATCCGGCCTGTAACAAGCCGTGTAGCATGCCCATGCCATTCTTTTCGTTTGTGTGGAGAGAGTTACATTTGTCCACATTCTTTTTCCTCAGATTTTATCCTGTAATTCTTACTGTGCTCTGCCGCACTCGATTGGCACATTGTAAAAGTGTAGATTCTAAGCGGGAACAATGGAAGCGCAGCAAATAAAGAAAGGGGATGCAGACTCCGGAAAGAGAAACCCACATTTTAAGTAACTTCACTACAACTGAGTTTAATATTCCTTTAATTTAAAAGAGGCACCACATAAAACTCTGCCTGTGACAATGGATTGCTGAAGTGTTAGACAAACCACCTCAAAGGAAAATGTGAGTTTGTTCTTGAGTCAAATATGAAGGACCGCGCCTCGGAACACAGATTCAGGCTGCCCAAATACATGTTCTGATGTGGAAATGGTTTCATGATGTTTTTATAGGACAAAAAGTCATAAATTAAGCCACTTAAAAATATGCACTGCCAGAAACATCAGGTAGGCCATCACAGCCAAGAAGACAGCCCAGCTGTAGGTCTCAGATGCTGACTGGTAAGTCCTTAGCTCTTGATGATGGAAGATAGTGGTGTGCTGAGCTAATACCTTCCAAAGGATTTTACGTGGGAGTCACAGGATGTTAGAACTGGGCGGAGTTGTTAAGGGGACTAAAGATAGCCCAAACTGGCTTGACTCTGGACCTACAGCATTCCAGTTCTCTACAGCCATACAGTTCTAGTCAGTTAAACTGTACATACGTATGATGGGTTTCTGGGGCTGGTGGTTTGTTCCTTCTGGGAACTTGGTTCACAGTACCTCAGTACAATCTTGTGGCATGTGGTTCAGTTTTCATTGTATGAATAAAAGAAATATGCAGTGGTGGTCAGGCACTTAGACCCATGGGAAACCAAAGTCAATAGATTCATTACAGTTTTCCCAAAATGAGGTGGGAGGTGTGCGTGATTTTTTTCACCTCCACTGCTTGTGGCCATCTCACAGTTTATGGGAGGGTCGGAATAAAGGCTGACACATATGGACATTAACCATTCGCTAAGTTAACTAATCTTTCCTGTAGGCCACAGGTTACCTCACTGTCTCTGCCTTCTGTTAGCTGGCTAAGGAAATTGGGCCCTTAAAGGAGCCCCATTCTTTAAAAGGAGTTTCAGTGGTTTGGGGTCTGGTGAGGTAACATTATCACCCATTTCAGGCCTGTCACAATTTTTTGTCAATAGACCTATTTCTTTAATAGATACAGAATAGGCTTTTTTTTCCATAACACCCCCCCTTTTTTTTTTTTTTACAAAACTGCTCAACGGTTTTTTTTAAAATTACCCGCAAACTAGAAAGATCAGTTTTCCATCAACAAGTGAATAGATTAACAAATTATGTTTATACAAAGGAAAATCTTGATATACTATATAATACTAAATAATACTATAGATCTCAAAAGCATTATGCTAAGTGAATTAGTTCATATACAAACACCTACATTTAAAAATATTTTTATTCTTTGAGAATTTCATATAGTATATTTTGATCATATTCACCCTTGCTCCACTCCTCACCTTCACCTCCCTATCCACCCATCTTCTAGTCTGTCTTTTTTTCTTTTCTTTTCTTTTCTTTTCTTTTCTCTTCTCTTCTCTTCTCTTCTCTTCTCTTCTTTTCTTTTCTTTTCTTTTCTTTTCTTTTCTTTTCTTTTCTTTTCTTTTCTTTCAGCCCATCCAGTCCAATTTATGTTGCCCAACTACCCTTGGGTGTGAGCCCTGCCCTGGAATGTGGCGGATCTACCAAGAGTCACACAATTAAGGAAAACTGACTCTCCCTCTCCCAGCAGCTCTCCAACGCCAGTGGCTCTCTGGCTTGTGGTTAGATTTTATGCTCTCCCGTCCCTCCCCCAGGCAGGAATTTTTTCTGGCTTGAGCTTGTGCAGTTAGTTTGTGCATGTTGTCACAAATACTGCGAGTTCCTGTGTCATTGTCCTCTGGTATCTTGAAAACATTGTGTCTTTGATGTTATCCACCCCCTTGGTGCTTACACTTTCTGCCCCTTCTTCCTTGAAGATCCCTGATCCTTGGGGGAAGGAGTTTGATGTAAACATCCATGTATAGCTGAGCACTCCAGTCTCTCATTCTCTGCATGTTGACCAGTTGAGAATCTCTGTGTTAATTACCATCTGTTGCAAGAAACTTCTCTGAAGAGGGTTGAGCAATGCACTAGTTGATGGGTATAGCCATAAGTAATTAGGAGTTGTTTTAATACTGTACCCATTTGGCAGAATAATGGTACCAGGTTCTTCCCCAGGACCTATCTAGCCATAGGTTCTGGGCCCAGTTAACAGTTCCAGGTATGCAGTCCGTCTAATGGAGTGGACCTTGGATACGATCAGAAAGTGGCTGTCACTCCATAACATGTGTGCCACTGTTTTATCAGTGGGCATATCTTATCATTTATGATTGTAGTTTTCAGGGTTCACAGTTCAGTAAGCTTGAACCTCTGGGCGTGTGAATAGTACTTTCCAGCAGTTTGAAAGCTTGCCAGTTGGGGTGAAGCTTCCAGTTGAGAACCAGCTAGATTTCCCCCAGTTTTGTGACTCAAGTATGTAGTGTTTTCAGCAATAAGGTCTTACTGTCAGTTTCTGAAGAGTAACCAAGAGCATAAGCAATGAATAAATAGCCTGTACTGTTTGGGGATCTATGGAGCTCCATTGGCCAACATAGAGTAGGCTTTTGTATCTTTGGAGGTCATCAGACTTAGGATCCTTAAAGCCTGTTAAACACACTATTTTATTTCCCCTTTGGTTTTTCAAGGCAGGGTTTCTCTGTGTAGCCCTGGCTATCCTGGAACTCACTTTGTAAACCAGGTTGACCTTGAACTCAGAGAGATCCACCTGCCTCTGCCTCCTGAGTGTTGGGATTAAAGGTGTGCGCCACCACTGCCCAGCAAAACACACTAATTTTTTAAAAGAAAAAGATAACAGCAGTCTGGTAGCCAAGTGAGTGGCACAAGTGTCTCTCTTTAAATTTTCTCCCATAGTATTAGGATGAGATCATAGTCCCATTTCTATTCCAACGTAGTTTTCTCCCTACTCCTCTAAAATAAGATGTGGAGAGGGAAAGTTGTCAATCTCCTCGGTGACAAGGCAGTGGCCTGATGCATCCTCTCTTCTGATAGATAGTGTTAAAAGCCCTTATGTTTCCACAGCTGTGACACTTCTTTATCCCGATTGTGTGGCTAAGAGGATAAACACATTAGAAAGGCACACTGTCCCTTGTTGGCGTAGAAGTGAGAGGGGAGGAATGGCAGCCGAGTCGGCAGCCATGTTTGAACACAGGACTCTCATGTGCCTCAGCTCTCCTCTCCTGGGAGTGTGATGCAAGGACGTTTTGATTTTCTTTTCTTTCTTTTCTTTTTCTTTTATTTAACTACCATTTTTTCATTTATTTTACATACTGACCACTGTTTCCCCTCATATTTTGATTTTCAACAAAGGGTGACATTGAGGTCTAAGGGAACTAAAAGTTGGCTTCAAGTCATTATTGTCCTTTTTCTTTCTAAAGGTCTGTTTTTCTTTATGCGTATGTGTGTATTTCTGTGTGTTTGCCATGTATGTGTGGGTGCCTGAAGTGGTCAGAAGAGGGTGTCAGATCTCCTGGACCAGAGTTACAGATGATTGTGAGCTGCATAACAAGGATGCTGGGAACCAAACTTGGGTCCTCTGCAAGAGCAGCAAGCACTTTTAACCTCTGAGCCATCTTTCCAGACCTCTTTGTTGTTGTTTTCTGATACAAGGCCCATGTAACCCAGGCTGGCCTCAAACTCTCCATGTACCTGAGATGACCTTGAATGTCTGCCACACCTGCCTCCACCTCCTGCTGTGATTCCTACTCTTGGCTTTCCATATTCCGGGGATTAACCCATAGTTTACTGTATGGTCGGCAAGAACTCTACCAATGGCTCTGATGTCCTCCTCCTCTCACTCTGAAGTATGGAAGAAGAAAATTTAACTAAGAGTCCATTTAGTCTTTTTGTTAATTATACACTTTTTAATTTTTGAGACAGGGTTTTACTGTACGGTCCAGGAACTCATTATAGATCCCAAGCTGGCCTCAAGCTTATGGGTAATCATTCTCCTCTCAGTGCTAGGATTACAGGCAAGAGTCACCTTGCCAGGCTTCCCGTCTGTTGTTGTAGGGGCAGAGAAGGAGGTGTGTGTGTGTACACTGGTGTGCTCACCTGCTGATGTGTCTCTGGAGGCCAGAGGTTGACGTCCGGCGTCTTCTGCTGTCATTCTCTACCTTGTGTTTTGAGAGATGATCGTACTGATCTTGGAGCTCACCATTTCAAGTAGTCTAGCAAGGTTGCAAGCTCCAGATCCACCATCTCTGCCCCAATTCCAATACTGGGGTTCTGGACACACCCCATCGTCCCTGGCTTTTTCACAGTATTCTGGGGCTCTGCATCCTCTTGCTTTACCACCGATCCACCTCACCATTCTCTCACAAACTTGTTTAATTCTCACAACTCTGCCTTACACTGGGTATCACATGACAGCCCATTTTTGGAAGGGA